AAAAAAAAAAAAAAAAAAAAAAAAAAAAAAAAAAAAAAAAAAAAAAAAAAAAAAAAAAAAAAAAAAAAAAAACTCCTACAACTCGGCAACAGAAAAACAAGTAACCCAATTTTTTAAAAACTGGGCAAAGAACCTAAATAGACATTCCTTTGAAGAAGATATACTAGAGGCCAGAAAGCATAGGAAAAGATGCACAAATTGCTAATCATTAAAGAAATGCAAATCAAAGCTACAGTGATATATCATCTTACATTCATTAGGATGGCTAGTGTTTTTTTTCAAGCACAGAAAATAAGTTTTGGCAAGAATGTGGAAAAATTGGAACCCCTGTTCATTGCGGAAGGGAATGTAAAATGGTGCAGCCACTAGGGAAGACAGTATGGAGTTTTCTCAAAAGATTAAAAATAGAATTACCACATAATCCAACAATCTAACTTCTAGGTTATATAGCCAAAAGAATTAAAAGTGGGATCTCAAAGATATCTGGGGAAAGGGAGCCTGATTGCAGGGGACAAGGAGGCAGTGGGAAGCAGGAAATTGGAGGCAGTGGGTGTAGACTCATCTTTCAAGACAAAAAGAAAGAAGATACCATACCCAAAGCAAAGTGTGAAAGAGGGAGGTGTTTCTCTTTTCTACAGGAAAGGTTGTGGGCATATTAGAAGAGAGAAAACAATTAAAGATACAGGAGAAAAGAAGTCCTTGAGTTATTTAAGGGGTGGGATGGGATCCAAAGCCAGGTGGATGATTACCCTTTTCCATGGTAACCAGAGGAAAAAAGAAAATAATGGGCAGGGATGGAGGGAGGCTCAGGAGTTTGGTGGCAAGAAGTTAAAGGCGTTCTCTTCTGATGGTTTCTATTTTCTGGGTGAAATAAAAATCTAGTTTTTATGCTGTGAGGATAGAGCTGTGAGAAGAATAGCCCGTTTGAGGACAAATTGCCTGAAGAGAGTGGCGAGTATGTGAGTATTCTCTGCGGAGCATGTATTTGGAAGCTGACCTGCAGGAACAGGCTGCTGAGGGCCTAGTCAGTGTTCAGATCATAAATATAAAAGACGTGTGTGTAGTAAAGGGTTAACTGTGCAGGTTGTGTTTGCTCAAGCCCTGTAAAGAAGGGCCTGTCTTTGGGAGGACTGGCCCTTGACCAGCTCCTTCTGCCACACGATATGTTTGACTAGATGTGCTAAAAGGGTGACTATGGTAAAGCCTGTTTCTATATGCCTGAGGCCCTGGGCCATGCTGCATCAGTTTCACCTCTGGGAGGCTGGAAATTGAGTAGGTAAGGTCAGCTATGCAGATGATGCATGCCCATGTAACTGGCCCCCAATAAAACCCCAAGGCTTGAGTGAGCTTCCCTCTCAGCAATACTTCACACATGTTGTCATACATCATTGCTGGGAAAATTAAGCACATCTCTGTACAAATTCTTCAGGTAAGCCATACCTGGAAGTTTGCACCTGGCTTCTCTTGAACTTCACCCCTGGGCCTTTTCCCTTTGCTGAATTTTAATCTGTATCCTTTCTCTCTAATAAACCATAACTTTTTATATCAGCTCTTCTGAGTTCTGTGAATCCTGCTACTAAATAAGTGAGCCTGAGGATGATCTTGGTGACTGCCAATACAGCTATAATATTGAATAACTGGAGACAAGGAATAGATTGGTTAAGTGGGTTGTTTCATCAATTCACTGAAATATTAGGCAACTACTAAGTAACACAGCCATCTATGCTAGCTGTATCAGAAAGTTTTAAAAAAATAATGTTTTATATTTTATTGTCGTGGGTACATAGTAGGTGTACATATTTATGGTGTACACGAGATGTTTTCATACAGGCATGCAATGTGTAATAATCAAATTACAGACAACAGGGTATCCTTCCCCTCAAGCATTTATCTTTTGTGCTACAAACAATCCAATTACAGTCTTTTAGTTATTTTATTTTATTTTATAGAGACGTGGGTTCACCGTGTTAGCCAGGATGGTCTCGATCTCCTGACCTCGTGATTTGCCTGCCTCAGCCTCCCAAAGTGCTGGGATTGCAGGCGTGAGCCACCGCACCTGGCTCTTTTAGTTATTTTTAAATGTACAATTATACCGTTATTGACTATAGACACCCTGTTGGGTTATCAAATACTAGGCCTTATTCTATTTTTTTTTTTTTGGTAACAATTAATCATCCTCACCTCCTCCTTAACCACAACTACCCTACCCAGCCTCTAGTAACCATCCCTTCTATCTCCCTGAGTTCAATGGTTTTGATTTTTAGGTCCCATAAATAAGTGAGAACGTGATGTTTGTCTTTCTGTACCTGGCTTATTTCACTCACATAACGATCTACAGTTCCACCCATGTTGTTGCTAGTGACTGAATCTAATTCTTTCTGTGGCTGAATAGTGCTCTGTCACACATATGTGCCACATTTACTGTATCCACTCATCTGTCGATGGACACATAGGTTGCTTCCTTATCTCGGCTACTGTGAGCAGTGCTGCGGCAAACATGGGCATGTAGATACCTCTTCAGTACACTGATTTCCTTTTTTTGGGATATATACCTAGCTGTGAGATTGCTGGATCGTACGGTTATATCATACAGTTTTAAAAAGCTGGTTTACAAGTAGAAATGTATGAGCACATTTACTTTAAAAATACGTATTTGTATGGATATATATGAAAAATGTTGAAAGATATGTAATACATCAAACCATTGACTGGTTATTTCTGGGAGCCGGCATTAGGAGAGAGACTTACATGAAATGCATTATGCACTTCTTCTTATATACTTTTTACTTATCTGTTTCAACTAGTATTATTAAAATTCTTCACCATTAACAATAATAGATGCTTATATTTGGGGAAAGAGGGGAAATGTAAGGGCTTATTTACTGACATTTTATAGTATCCTTAGAAGTGAGATTTCCCTTCTCAATTCCCTAAAATTACTGCATGAGTTCCTTCAAGGATACGAGTAGGAGACACATCTCAATTGTCATTGAATGCCCACAGAGGCTGGCTGAGTAAGTATCTAACTGGCGACAGAACGAGACTCCGGGTAAAAAAAAAAAAAAAAAAAGCCTCAATATGTATCCTCTGAAGTAGATTTAACAGCTTCTGTATTTAGGATTTTAGCCACTAGGTGGCATTATTTGCCTTTTTGTAAGCTCTGTTTTCTCTGCACTTGTCTTGAAAAAAGGAAAAGTGATTATAGAAGCCCTGCAAGAGAACAATCAGGATGTTAGGCCCAAGTAAGGATTTACAGAGCTGGGTTGCTTTCCTGTCAAGGAAAGGAGAAGGGGCTCTCTGTCTTAAGATTAGTAGCTACACATACACACACACACACACACACACACACACACACACACACAAACACACAGCCACAATTTTTTATCACCATTGAAACTGCAATCTTGATGAATATTGAGCAAGCAAAATT